TAAAAAATACAGTACTTGTAAATTACACTTATTTATCTAGTATACATAACATTTATATAAAGCAGTATAACTATAAAAAACATATTTTATTTAGATATTATAACGTGTATCTGTATATATTTGTATACTATAAAATATATTTTATGTGATATATAAAGAAATATGGACATCTAATAATAATCTACAAGATATGTAGAATACAGAAGGGAAACGTCTGGTATTTTCTGGTTTTGAAAACTTAATAATTAGTGTAAGTATTTGGGAATGGAAAGATTTCTGCTTATCCCAGCCCTGCAATACATTACACCAGCATTACAAACCGATTTTATGGGTTTCATTGAAAAAAACCCCCAAGTTTGTCAGAAGTCAGTCAGATGACTTCAATTCCTAAACTATTTCTTGTCTGTGACTAGAGCAGATACTGAGCTGATGTGAGGAAATGACTTAATTTTTTTGATAGCTGACTTGACTGCTGGTTCAGTAGATCAGCTGCTCCCATTCCAATTTTTTTTCTTTTATCCTGGTGATTGCAATTAGTCAAGCTTTATCATAGATGGATGTCTTTGAAATTACTTCTAAAACATTTTTATGAGGAAAAATATCTATATAAGTTTGCCTGTCTTGTATCTAAAGTATATATGTTTCTAAAGGCCAGTCCAGAACTCCTTTTTCAGCTGGGACACTTGTTTTATTTCCATTTCTACTACCCTCGAAGGATTTGGCCATTAGCTTTCATGAAGCTTTTGAGCACTTGTCTGTTCTGCTGTGCACTTCTACATCTACCTGAAATACAACAGAAGCTTCAAACACTGCTGGTAGGGAAAAGTGTGCACAGATGTGTATGCTGTGCTGTTGCCTAAATGGCTTCCTTCTGATAGCAAACAGACCTGAGGCTTCCAAACAAGTTTGTCTTCAGTATCATTTGTTTGTCTTCTACAGATCTGAGAGCACTTCAGCATCTCCTTGGGGTGCTCTCTTCTTTCTCCATTTGGCTCTAGCAAGCATCATGAGGTTTCTGTGTGGTTCTGCCATACCTTCCCATGCCTCCCAAGAGGAAACGTGCCCAGCAGGCCCGGAGAGCAGAGCTGGTGTTCCTGGAGAGCCCACGAGAGGGACCCGTCCATTGCTGTGAAACTCCACTACCTTCGGCTGAGAATCCCAGACGTGTTCCCACAAAACCCTTAGGCCAGAACACAGCCGCTGCCTGGGTGGGTATCGATCATCTGCACCCCACAGCAACGGTTTTCAAGTCCCTCAACGGAGATCTGTCTGTCTGGGATACTGAGGCTCAGCAGCACAGACCTGAACTGGCTGCAGCTGCCCAAAGCACACAGTAGTGCTGCAGAGCTGCACGTTCTGACTACAGCTGCAAAGGTCTTGGTTATTTGAAGGCATAAAACTGTGTGCAGCATTAACTTGACTGTTTGTCTTTTGAAAAACCAAGCCTCATCAGGAAAATGCTGTCTCCTACAACTGAAAACCTTGCACATAATAACAGTAGGCAGTTTTTTTGTTGGCTTGCTGCTTGAAATAACTGCTGAACTCTAAAGGTTACATGCTCAAGTAGTGGGTGTTTTGTTTCAATCTGGCACTGATGAATTCAGAGGGAGTAGGCTTTCCCTTCAGGATTGTTTGTTCTAACTTGGCCTGCTTTCCATTCTGTTTGCAACAGTTTCTTTCCGTATCACTCTCTGATGGGCTGCTTTTCTGTCAGAGAAAATGCTCCAGGGACTGTGTGCAGTGTCCTGAGACACTCCTTCTATCATGTAACGTGAAGGTTTGGGTTTTTTTAGCAACCAGGTGCTGCAAAGACAGACTGTCCCTATACCACAGTCAGTGCCTGGGGCAGGTCGAGGTTTCAGCGTTACTGCTGCCTGACTCTGCTCCTCACAAAGCAGGGGTAGGGTTAGGGAGAGTGGTTTCAAACCTGCATGGAACATTCCTTTGTTTCTGGTGACCTGGAGTTATTTTTGTGATCCTTTAACCTTGAAGTAGAGCATGTTCAGTGTTTGTTGGGTTTTGGTATATGCTGATGGCAGTTAGCTCTATGGCATCTGAAACATTAAGTAAAATAACTACTGTGAATAAACATTCTTTTTGTTTGGAAGAGGTGGGAATGTCCACACTGGCACTGAGCTCTTTTATTCCAAACATACAATGACTCCAAAGCTTGTTTGAAGCTATCAGCACTAAAACAGTTGTATTTTTCCATCTGAAAATCCTGGTAGGTTTGTAACTTCTTGAAAGTGTTTCAGTGGTGACATCTTTTCTCCTTCTTTCATCTTCTTGATGTTATCTGATGTTTTTAATGCCTTCTTGACTGCTAGTCTCCTGCATTGGTAAAGCCTACCCTGCATGTTCTCGGAAGCCAGGAAGTCATATCCTTGAAGTCAGAACTCCTATTCCTTCATTAGTATGTGCCAGGACACAATCATCAGGGAATCATTTCTCTCTTTTCCTGTGTGAAGGCTTTGCATTCAAACAGTTTAGTAGCTGTACAGCAGACAATCACTCTCTTTAATTCAATTGCACCTAGTTTTTTGAGGTGGGGGTGTAGAGTCAGGTTGGCATTCCTTTTCTCTGGAGAAAATTGTTTCTGTTATGTCTTCCCCCTCAGGTGTGCCCACAATTTGAAACGACTAAGTCAGAGGTGTTGAAGGTGTGCCAGAAGAAGCATCGTGGTCCTCGCAAACCCCAGAACCAGGATGCCAACCACAGTTTGCTTCATGCAGGTGGAGCTTGTCAAAAAGCTACAGCCTGCAAATTTCGTCCTTTAACTTTTGAGAATACAGAAGGTTATGCAGGCCACCCCTCAGCTTGTCTGAATTGCTCAGGGAAGAACACACGGTGCTCTCACAGCCAGCCCAAAAAAGGGAGAGCAGCAAAAGCCAACATCCAGGTGAATAGTCTGGAGAACTGTAGAGAAATACTTTTGTTACCTGCTTCTCAGGCCGTGGAGCCAGAAGTCTTTAGTCCACCAGATGTAGAGACTCCAGAGGTGCCTTCCACAAGGAGCTGGAGACGCAGCAGCACTCTGCCACGAAGTAGCCACACCCGGCATCCAGAAAAAGGGCTGGCATTAGGTGTTGATCCCTGTAGGGGAGGGGAGTCGGCAGCAGTCCTGGTTAAAGATACCCCTGAGCATGAGTATGGAGTAAGAGTTACGTGGAGACAACGGCCCCATCTACTGAAATACCTGCGGGAGAGGGGGAAGGTCAGTGCTGCGGACGTGCTGGTGAAAGCAGACTTCAACCTCTCCAGGAGACAGGCCGATATTTGACTCGTCCGGAGCAGTAACTCTTGCCTGCAAAGAGAGCTCCACGCAGACAGCACCGGTTTCGGGGATGAAGGGAGATGATCCGGGAGAAGCCCCGCGCTGCGGCGGCTGACCCTGCTGCAGCACACCCCGGGAGCAGGAGGGCGCTCCGCTGGGGATGGGGTACGTGGGGCCGGGCCCTGGGGAACACGGCTCTCTGGGAACAGCCTTCTGGTCTGCGTGACTTCTTGCGGGGCCGTCGCCGCAGCGCGG